TATATATATATATATATATGTAACTAGACAAACGTTATGGTTGTACGGCAGTGAAGCATCAGTGGCAACACTGATGTTACTGTCTTTGATGATGATGATAATGATGAGACGAAGTCATCCTTATCTTTGGAGATAAAGAGGAACCACAAACATTTTTGAATAAATCGACCACCCTCTTTCGGTGTGTCCATTGCATGTACGAAGTATAAAGTCATAATTTAGGAATTTCAATCTCCTAACATCTCTTAACGAGATGGCTCAGTAGTTAGAGCGAGGATTTACTGACCGAAAGGTCCGTGGTTCGAACCCGACCTCTGAGTCTCGACTTTCCCTGTCTTGGGCAATCTGGCGATATCCCAGCCCTTATTCTTCCTTCTGGTGGCATGGCAGCTAGACACCAAAAGGGTGCTGCAGCTGAACAATCTTTTAATCCTTCACGACTCAAGGATGAACACCGAAAGTGTGGAGAATCTCGCGTGTCTGTAGTTGCTAGCTTTGGCGACATCGCATCTGATTAGGTCAGTGGTGAATCTTGAAGGTCTAAATCAATTTCGCGCTCTTTCTTCATTTATGGCATCAACTAGCATATCACTGTATCCCAAGAGTCGCGTTTATCAGGCTACACTGTGGGCTGTGTTGTTGTATGACCACGAAACGACCTGGGGCATCTTCAGCCTCTTGACCACCTTTGCTGAAGGTTGTTGAACGTACAGCCGTATCGTCACTAGCCACCGTCGTTGTCATGGGATGGCACCGACGAATCCGTCGCGGGGCATTTTAGGCGAAATTCCGCACTAGACGGTTCTACGGCTTGCAGTTAGGTGCTGCTACGGTCAGGAACCCTGTCCCGCACTCGATTGGCCAGAAGATCGGGCCGCCTACCGGTCCAGCACCAAGGCGAGCTCTGGTTGGCCGAAAGTGTGGGCCCTATTCCGATCCAGTATCTGCCGAATGCCGGTTGCAAATGGCGCATCCAGAAAGCGTCGGAATTTCCAGAAGGTCACCGCACAAAACTTATATACGACGCGCTGTACATGTGTTCTTACTCTTGTTTTGGGTGTTAACACACGTTGTGGACCTTTGGCGGCTGTTTCGACGGGAACATCAGCTTGGATGTTTCAGACCGGCAACTAATCTGAGAATTACCGTTACTACAGGGTAGTTGAAAAAGGTTTGTTAAGTTGTGCGGCTACTAAATGGGTACCATCAACTATGATTGTTCGGCCATGTGTTGCGCCTGCCGAATCATGATCTGCGGAGACAAGTATTGCTCTCAATGTCCCTTCTGGAGGGACGCAAACTGCGAGATAGACGCGTAGCTTAGAAGAATATCGCGAAAGATGTATTGAAGCCTTTGGGTGTTGTCGGTTGGTCCACCTTTCACGATGGGATCTTCATGATCTCCCGCTTATATTGACTAGATACGTTGCAGGAAATGGTTTCTAATCGATGTCAGTGGAGTTCGTGCTATCGGTTTCTTTCCAGACTGTCCTATTGACCCTCTAGAGGTGTAGGTACGTTGGAATGCTTGGAATAGACTAGCACCTAAATCCACACCTCTTTTTATTGCGCTTGAAGTCTTCAACTATAATCGAACAAACTGCGTGGGTGTACGACAGTGAAGGATCGTCATCAATGGTGATTTTGCCGTCTTTGATGGTAAAGGTGGTAGTTGGTGGACTATTCTGTTGACACTATGAAGTCTTTGGTTTGTGCACAGTAGGTGCGTTTGGAATTCGTTTTCGTTTTCTGATAATTACAACCTCAACTTGCAGTTTTGATGCCAGAACCTCTAGGACAAACGAAGTTACCACACCGTACTATGAGAAGCCATATTGTCGTTGGGGGTTGTTAGAAAGGTGCATAAGCAAGCATTCGCTTTTCTAAGGTAAATATCGTGCCATTACACTCAGAGTGACTTGCAGAGCAACAGAAGGGGGCGTTTATATACATTTTCCGGTCAATTTGGTAGAGGAGAGTGTGGATGTTATGCGAGCACTTCCCAACGTGCCTTAATGGACTGCGTGGGTACACGAATCATCGTTTACCAATAACGTCGAGTCTCTTCCTGACAGTGGGTAGGAATTCGTCTAGTCCCTTCCTCACTGAAACAGCAAAGTTGCCAGAAGCCTACGGTATAATTTGAGTGCCGTTATCAACTCCATACGAAAACCTATTGTCATGCTTTTCCAGAATTTTCATTCAAAGGGCGCTTTCATTGTTACACTGTTTCATTTCATTTCATTTCAGACCCGTTGCACTAGTTCAAGCCTGTTTTGCTAGCCACTAGGCTAGTGCGCTTTATATCGCAGTATGGAACACGCCTCTTCCAAAATAGTTACAACCTTCGATGGACACAAGAAACTGGCCTCTTACAATGCTGTGCAAGGTTGTGTTGTCATTCAGTCGATCAGAGAGGAGGAAGAATACATGCAGGTATGTCGTACCGTAAAAATTTGTAAGCGCTTTTTCCTGTGCTGGAATGTTTATACTAGTCATCTGTATTATCATGTACAAGATAAATTTTGTGGCATTAACATTTATTGCGGTGGATTGTTTAAACCAGATTTGCGAGATGAGGCTGAATTTGTACACAGGTGACACCAGCTACAAGATGGACATTCTTATTGCTAAGTAATATTCCAAACTTCCGGGTTTAAGCAAATTTCCAGTTAGGTGGGTGGGGTAGTAAATTCACTTCCTTTATTGGATCGTCAGTTAGCTCGTTGACTCGGCCGTGTTAAAAACAGTCTGACATAGCTTTCGTGCTCAGATGTTACAGAATGAAATTGTTGTCGGTGTTCACCCAAACTTATTTACGAAGACGACATCGATCGGTGAAAACAACACCCTCATGCGCGAATCGCAGCAGAATCTAAATTACTTATACCAACAAATTTTACCTTTTGTGAGCCTGTGGGACGTATAGCTTATTGATGCTATATTTTGTGCGACGATTGTCCGTTAACGGAAAGTGGCCGTACACGTTCCTCCTCCGGTGTTGACATTGACAAACGTGCCAAGGCGTGTGTACTATTTGGGGACTACAGCATGCATTGCCCCGGGCATATTATGTCGATTTCGTGTTTGTGATAGACGGTTAGCCACTTTCCTTCCCCGGAAAGAAACGATTGAATGTGCAAACTGTGGAGGAAGATCCGTTTTTGCCCACTTGATAAGTTTATTATTGTTGGGTATCTCGTTGTCCTTTTAAAGGGTGATGTTCTGGTGGGCTGCTGTGCAGGTTTTCTGAAGCGGACATTAGGGGCGTGAAACTTTTCGTCGGTGTTCACGCACGGCTGATGAAACGATGAAGAGCTGAAGTAACTCATGACTGAAAATAGTTCGAGTATCGGTTGTTTGTTTATTTAAGCGAACATACATGGTGCAAACCCTCGTGAGAAGTAGTTAATCATAGTTATCATCATGATTAATCATACGCAACCAATTAAAATCCTTTTGACGTCTGATCACGTATAGGCTAGCTATTTTAAAGCCTTCGACTCACCGGCGAATACTTGCTGATATAGCACAACGTGTTCTTCAACCCATTCGAACCTTTCGAAGTATTCCGACTGGCTTTTTCATCAGTTCATGCCGTCAAAAGTCAAGAGATATGGTTTGTAGTGTCGTTTTGATGTTTATTTTAGATTTATGACATATCTGTTGTCGCGAATCCTCAGCTGTCGTTGGAAGCACCACATAAAAATACGGAGTGGTGCATAAAAACGCTTACGGATATGAGCACCCAGCCTAGACCTTAAAACTGCAGCAGCTCACCGAGACTTAGCTCCTGTCTGCTCTACTTTCCGAACGGACTGTTCTTCATTTGAACGGAATTGGTCATGCGTGTGTCAAGCAGCTTCTCATATTAATCGCGTACTTACATCCGATTTATCCTTAATCAGTTACAGTCCTGAACTTCTGATCATCGTGACAGGCGATGTTTCGAAATATCGAATTGATGCGGTCTTATTGTATCAGTTTCCAAGCTGTCCAGAAAAAGTTATCACTTATCACACCATCGGTAGTGCAGAACAGTTACAGCCGAATTGAAACGGAAGCGTTAGATATTGTTGTGAAAAAGTATTACAGCATGCTGCATTACCAACATTTTATCCTTCACACAGATCACAAACCGCTGTCGGTCGTGCTCGAGTTTCCAAAAATCATCCCAGGCCATGCTTACGATCGCCTCAACGCTGGGTTGCGATTTCAGCACAAACTACAAATCAGCGTAATCCTTTTGCCATACAGGTGCACAGTTGCACGTAATATCCCAGTAAGGTTACAACAAGGAAGACCAAGACAGTAGTTGCATCAAATTTTAATCGAGAGCGAAATCCAGCATTTTTTCGGAAGTAATTCAGCATCTTCTCATGCCCAAGCGACTGCCAGAGTAACCACGCTTGACCCTCTGTTGTAGCAGGTTATTCTATATTCACGAAGTTAATGGCCTACCAAAGTAAGGGTGCTTTCCAAATCGTGGGTCATTTTCTAATGTTGAGTGATGATGTAGTCGTATCACACACGTCGGTATCAACTATTGAAACAACTTCACGAAGGGTATTCTGGAATTATCGATACAAAAGCCGTCGATCGCAATCATGCCTGGTGGCGTTCCATTTGGATAAATGTTTGTACGTAGCTGCGGGCATTGTGCAGTCGTAGTTTTTCAGTCAGATTCAAACAGTCTCTGCGATTGTTGATATCCCGTTATCGGCCAGGGGGTACTCGGTGGCACCGAAAATGTTGTCCTTGTCCGTTACATGACTGGGTTGCATTGTGACGCAATTACATCTTCCACTCAGAGCTACGGGAGTACGTTCTCGTATTTAGTCCAACCAATGCATTGTTGTATTGGAACGTGTACTGCTCGATGGTATGAAGGAATACACACCGAAACTGGTGGTAAAGATAGGCAGTTTATTTTTTAAACTGAGTATGGTCCAACGAAATGTCTTGTATTCCCGGTTGCTATCGGCATTTTCTCAAGGTGCTTGGTGTACTGTGGTTGGCCGATCTTCAAGTGTCGAAATGATATCCATCCTTGGCCCATGTTCCCTTAGTTTACAGTTCCAGAGTCCCTGGTGACAGATCATGGAGATTAGTTAAGAAATCATGAGTTTGGTCAAGATTTTCGTTCACTGAGGAGGTTGAGAATTATGGACACCTGGAGTAGTTGTACAATAGATTAGGAAATTCATCTGGACGTCTTTTGTCAGTCCAGTGAGCATCCAATAGTCACCTTCTCCCATCTTATTATCTATATTGAGTGAAGACAAACACCCCGTCGCACCAGATGCGACATTCTTCGCGTTGCAGATAACCTGTTGTAGACGTATATTCAAACCTTGTTTGAAATCAAAATAATAACGAATAAACAAAAATAGCAATTTTTGTTCAAAAAGATATGTTTTGCGGTGCTCACAAGTCCAATAGACCTACGTGCTCATCCAGGTCGTTTAGGAGACGCGTGTGTTTCATTTCTGTAGCAGGTTCTTTTGCTTTATTAATTCATGTACGTATGTTCTGAAGCGCATCCAGCACTGCATCCGGGTCTTTTTTAGACCATCTGGGTAACAGCTGCGTACAAAGCAAGACCTCTATATCGGGGGTGGGGAGGGGGGACGGAATGATATTTAAGAGCGGGTATAAGACTACGTTATTGGGTATACCTTCAGCTGTTTGAAGCCATCCAACAGCAATCATTATAGGTTTGGCTGAAATACCGTTTCTTCCTTCGCCAACCATCTTATGAGTTATGAACATCGGGCTGACATTTCTTCAACCTCTAAAAGCTTCGCAACAAGTGCGAGACCCCATTTGTTGTTTACGTTACTTAAGCCGGGCTTTCGTCTTATAAGAGACCTGAGCATGACTTCGCTTCCACTCTGGTCCACCCGATCCGGCTACACACTTTTCGCCCTCAGTTGGAATTTGAATTATGAATTTCTAACATTGGTGTTCACATTCGTTTATTCGTTGCTTATGTGACACTTACTGCAGTCAGAAGGGACGTTCAAACAAACCGTATAAGCCTGCTATCGCTGTTCGGCTATGTGGGATGATATTTCTGCTTGATTTAATTCCAGATAATAACTTCGAAACCAAAGGTTAACTGTGGCGGACGAGTTGGTGAATCCATATCACACTATCTTTTATCCTTGTAATCGCGTAGACCTTTCCTGCACTCCTGTTTGGTCATCTAGTCTACAAACAACAGTTCTCTCACATTTGCCGAAAATTCTCCGACTACGTACTTCTTTGTCTCAAGACGAGAATAAGCCGGCCACCTGGTGTCTCCGATAGTGGTCTGTACTTGGGTGTGGATAAGACACCAAGGTTGGACGTTCTTGGAATTCTTACTAATACCATTTACATGGGGTTAGGATTTCAAAGATGAATTAGATTCGAGGACAGCGTTACCTTCAAAATCGAGGGTTTGTATGAAAAGTAACGAAGCTGGATAACTCTGTGTCTTGCAGGTTTTCTTTTAGCTAAGTACTACAGCACCAAGCTGAGCCTATTACTTTATTATTCCCAACTTAATGTTTATAAGTTGCCCTAATCATTTGCTTCACGTTTTTTGTTCTACCGTACTAAAAGTGAATCCAGCTGTATGAGTATCCCTATGGTTTTATTTTTTAGCACCTAGATAAAATTATTCAGCGTGATTATTTTCCCGATCTGGCTGGCACACAAGAATCTGGCACAGGCATTGTCAACTCGGATACTTCGGTCCCGGATACTTGGAGGGAAAATGAGTCAAGAAATCCGGAAAAGGGTTTGTTTTCTTTCTTAAGCTACTCCAACATACAAATACTTTTAGCGGATCCTACAGCCGTAACACTGGACAAGTATCTAGCCAACAATACCACCGAAGACGACGCATCATTTGTGGAACTGATTGAGGAAACCGAGAAAAAACAGCGGATCAAACTATCCTCGTTCTTCCCTTCTCTCGAAGCACCCTCAGATGTATGGTATCATTTGCTTGGTCAACTTATCTCTACATTTTTCTTAGTTGGTGACCAACGAACCGAAACCACTAGCTCTCCCTGACGGTGCACATTTCCAAGTTGGACCGCGTTTGACGCTGACTGGTAACAACGCAGTGCATTTCAATCCAGATGGTGTTGCACAAACCCAGGACGAATTTTTGGACCACTTAGCTAGAGAGCGTAAAATAGTACCGGCAAATACCCGATTCAAGCGACCGTTATCCGTAACCATGGCAAAACGAACATTATCCAAACAAATGTTACTTCAAAGAATCGTAAGCTCATGTTGTCTTTTCTTACAGTTTTTTTCCTGTAGCCCGTCCGCCTGTCTTAGCTGTTTTTCTTACGGACGATTTGTTGTACTTATATTGTGGGCTGGCATCTGTTTCCGAATTTCCATTCTACGTTGAACGAAGCTGATGGAACCCAATAGCACAATAGTTGCTGTTACAAATGATTTACACTGCACTTCATGTGCATCAATCTGGTTTAAACAGAGGAGTATGACAGGGAGTAAACAGGATGGACAGTTTTGAATTTACCAAAATGCCCAACTGGTGACCCGTGATTGCCTATTTAAGGAGGTACAACTGATCACTTGGGAAAGTTCTGCAGTGATATTCTGGGAGAAACACCCATAGGACTCATTTTAATGGAGTGACCACTTGGAAAGCTTTCAGTGTATTTGATCAAGTGAGATGCAGACCGTACGTAGGATGGTTGCGATGAGATCCGTATTGCGAATACGATCGACTGCTTCCGAAATACCAAGCAGAACCAGCTCACTTCATCCATTGAGTTGAAAGAGAATGACCCTGCGTGAGACACAGTCTTGGTCACCATAGGAGTGATGACCTCGGAAGACATACTGATGGTCGCTCAGCACCTTTCAACATCGCAGAAACGTTGTCCGAACTCCGGATAAAGCAGGTGTAATTGAACTTGAATGACAGCTAATATTAGAGTAGCATTCCAGAAGGGGAGGACTTTACGCTGGGTGTTGGTGCATTTGAAGGATCGCCTTCCGGTTGATAGGACTAGAAACTGCGTATACAGAATAAAATGTAACGACTGTACGAATGTTTATATAGTTCAGACAGTCAGGGAATCACACACCAGCATCGGTGAGCATGAGCGTTCCATTAACAGACCACCGAGAAACGTAGGTGAATACCAGGCGATGGTCAAAGATTCGGCAATGGCAGGGCATGCACTAGACACTGGGCATAGGATAGAGTTAGAAAATGTGGACATCCTGAGACGGGGTTTAAGATTCACACTACGGCGACTGGTGGCCGAGGCGGTTGAAATCGCCAAGCATCCCAGCGTGAATAGAATAGAGGGGGTAGAACTTGCAAACGTGTGGAGAGCGGTTTTAGATCAGCCGAGATGACACGAGGCAGTGTGCAGTTATCAGCGGAACGGTCTGGGTCTAAAAGTACAAAATCCAAGTGGGGTTAGATCCAATCAACCACCTCACCCCCATCCTCAAACCAATTGTCCCGGCACTCTCTGACGAACACAGGTGAACAAAATCTCTGAACGACCCCAAAAGGAATTTTCCATTAAGGTGTCCTAGACTGAAAAAGCAAGGACGAAAAATCCTGGTTCATCATGAAGACAACCCCCCCCCAACCAATCTATCGTAAATGTTGATCGTCCCCACTAACCAACAAACAGGAACATCAGACTGAACAGCCAGCACTGATCGCGTCACTAGTCATAAGGAATCTCACGGATTGGTTTTCTGACTGCCCTAAAACCCAATCAACCTAATTACTCACCTGGCCTGACGAGGCTTTTGTGTCAGAAGCGAAATGTTGCCCAGACATAAATCCATTTCTCTGAAACGATGACTTCCTAATCGGTCCCAAACATTTTCCAATTGATTGAATGACAGTTGTTGCAGTCAGATAGGGAATCACGTCTGAGAATGTGAGACGCGGCAGAACACCCGAATAAATCGAGGCATAGGTAGATTTTCAGATGATCGGAGCAAGTTGGTGAATAAGGATGAACGGGCGGAAATGGACACTCATCGCCTGCATGTAACACGTCTTGGCCGCGCAACCACATACCTATTGCCATACCCAGCATTTTTGCAGATTACTGTTGTGCGGAGCTATCTCATGTCGGTTTACTTAGCGTGCAATGTTTCGTCTCTAGGTCTTTGGATTACACAGGACGATGAACTACCACATATCCCACCCCATGACAAATTCACAACTAAACACCGGCTTTATCTTTTTCACACGGAACCTCCAGCGTGAAATCACAGCTATTCTGGATTCGTTGAGTAAGCAGGGAGTGACAGAGCGCTTAAAAAGGTGTGGAGAGTAATGAGGCGATGGTAAGGAAAGAGCGGACGACGGGATGTCATGCAGTTAAATTTTCATCAGAGTGGTACATTAGGAAAGAAGCATGTGACCTGGGCAGAATACGACAGCCACAAACGTTTGCACTCCGTGGATTTGACACTTTCCGATGTGGTTCTGCACAACATGCGCGGTCTGCATCTACTGCGGGCATTCGTACGCAAATCCCAAGGGCGATCTGCAGTCGCCACCATTTTCCATATGGTGTTTCGGCACCATTTCATGAATCGAAATCAGTCGCCGCTCATTAGCTCGGTGATTTTGAAACCCAGTTACCCCTGGTTTTTGAGGTGCACTGTAGTTGAGTAAGCTCTCAGTTAGGAAATCATGATTTGGGGGACAAGTAAAAGAGTTTGCGTACTCTGCCATCCTGTTACTGCAGCACTTAACCGTCAAGGCCTAATCAATTGATGACATTGCGGCACGACATGGTGCTCGTGGTGCCTTCAGTCGAAGATGGAAGCATTCTGATATCTCACAGTAAAAAACAGTTTCCAGTTTCTTCAGAAAGTAAGGCGGGGCGGATGAAAAAAAGAATCAGTAAGATTATTTCATCTTGATTGAACATGAGTGATCAGAGTTTAACAGAAAGACGGTTCCGGCGTTCAACTGGCTATGTTGATGACACTTTTCCTTAATTTATTAATTTTTCCGATAGAATTCTTGTAGTTCAGGTTGAACGCATTAAAACGCCTAGGAAAAACAGTATCTTCTTTGCAGGTGAACGCACCGGTTGGAGAAGTGAGATTTTTTGGTGCATTAAATGGGAACAGCTTTCGACACAGTGACTTTCCAGTAAAGAGCCCTTTTTTAAGAGGCTGCAAAACTGTCAGAAGGGACCGGTATATGTATGTATTTCGTATGTATTCGTATGTGTTTCGAGGGACACTATTATTTCGTCGTCGTGAAATATGGATACCACCACTTCCCAAATAAGGACCATTTTTGGCCTTCCCCAATAATGGTATTGTGTTGCGGTGTGGAGGGGAGAAGAGGAATGTATTTGATCAGGACATACGGATCGTCCGTTTTACAAATAAGCTTCTTGTTCCTTCTGGCACCCAAGATTAAGACGCGAGCCATGCGCCGCAATACCGGTTTTCCGTATATTTTTAGCTTCCGCACTGGGTGTTGGTTCTTAGATGAATGACCGTCTTGTGTGTATAATTTGTTTAGTGAGCGAATTCGGCAACCAATTAATATTTCCTTTTTGTTCTGTTGACACCTACTATAGGGTTTAGACGGAAAGGAGCTTAATCCAGCACTGGGCACACCACAAGTTGGGGGTTTCAAATTCATGGACACGTCTCCTTCGCCAGCCCTGTCAGCCCTGGGTGCCTCACCCCTAATGACGTGGGGTCAACTAGACTCAACACCCGCACGGTTGGATGACGGCTCTGCCACACCCTCAGTAATGTCTGGAGTGCCCGCTTTCCATATTCCATCGCCATCCAAACGGGAACAACTCGCACACAAGCTAGCTGACAAAGCCAGTCGCCAGCGTACGCGTGATCGGAACGAAGCCGTTAAACGTGTACATTCTGGAATATCAAGGTAACAGCTTTTGTTGAATGGCTGATGGATTGCCGCATACGTTTGGCATGCTTTGGCATCTAAAATAAAGTAATCAGAAGACCAGAAAATATAGGCTGCTACGTGCAGAACTGCTGCTGCTCACTACCTACTTCCGACTCTACCTATTAGTTCACTGAACAACATAGTAACTTTCGCCACACAGCCAGCGCGAGAGGGAAACACCGGGTCATCATTCAAAACCATAGTTATTATATTTCCCAGAAAGACTTTTTTCGATAGGATAATAATCTATAGCTCTTTCACACTACACGGTGTAGTCGGTACGCTGTGATAATTTGTTGTTTTCGGTTTTATCGCGTTTCTTATCGTTACAAACAGAGTATGATCAGTATGAGACAGCTGGGTTCTGCAGCCTTATGCTGTCCCGGTGGTTCGTAAGAAACCGTGAAATTTGATGACAGAACGACAACCGTGTCACGGTTGTCACCCACCTCAGGATATAGTTTGCTTGTATGAAAAACTATTCGAATTATTTGGCTTTTCTGTCTCGGGTCTGTGTCATGTGAAGACCCTATGGACTACAGTAAATGATTTCAAGCAGTTTAGAGAACACCGGTGAGCCCCTGAGGATATCATTTGGGGAAACCTTCTTTACAGCTCTTTTTATGTAGTTTTTCAGCGATAATCAAGATATTTTGCAGATATCAGTTTCCTCTGAAAGGCATATTTCAGAACCCCGGTGCTTACTAACACTTGACTGGCCCTGTTTGTTTTTTCGTGAATTTTGTAATCTAATGCGCTCCATTTCGATTTCTCTATTCTGATCTGTTTACCAATAAGTTCAATCCGAAGTCCGTTCGAATCACAAAAGCAGTACGTCCCTCTGGGTGAATATTGTGGATTGCACAACTTTTTATCTCACATAATTGCTGTTTAACTGCAAACACCGATTTCTCTGCAGTTCCAGAGATTTTTTGGTTTCTTATTTACTAGCGACGTCTCTTTATTGTCCTTCTTGTAGTCCCTCACTATCGCTACTTTCTCCGGCTGCACGTCGCCTGCTTGCCACCAGTTCAGGTCGTGCTGGTTCATCATCGCGTCCGGGAACAGGATCTAGTGCTATCAGTTTTATCCAGTCCCCAATGGCAAAGTCATTCACCCCGCGCCGATTGGCTTCCGATTTGGTGGTGGTTCGACGTCCTACATCAGGCCGAACCACAGGTGTGTGCCAATCGCCTGCCGTCGCTGCCGACACCGCAAAGAAAATACCTCCTACTCACTCAGATGAATCTGTTGCCTTGAAAGTTATCAGTCCATCCAATGAAGGGAGTCGTCCTCCGAATCAGTCGATTACCGATAATTTGTTAAACTTGCGCCCACAGACATTGCATTCACAGACACCTACTCATAACGGTTGAACACCTTTCCCCACGTTTTCATTGTACACATATTCCATGTATCCTCCATCAGTTTGCCTCTGAGACGTGTGCCTCTGAGCTCTGTGATTCCAATGATTCTAGTGAAGACTTACTCCTACGAGTTACTTTTTCTTGCAACATTGTGTACGCTTGTATGTCACTTACCCAGCTTTTACAGAAATTTACTTAATGGCAGAACTGGAGTTTCTGAAACTTGTGTTTTTTCTTAGCTTGATAACTAATTGTTCCTGTCTAGGCTTGGGCAACCTGGAAGTATCTCAGTCCTCGTGCTTCCTTCGGGTGGTATGGCAGTTGAGCACCGGAAGCGTGTCACAGCTGAACGATTTTTCAAAATGACTAGCTGAGTTATTCTGGTGTCACGTACTGCATCTTTATTCCGGTCTATGTTTCGTATTCTCCATCAGCGTCATTCGCTGCCATTCACCGTCCAACCCTGAATATTTTAGATGGCGCAACTTACAGGGTACTCCGTTTGTTGGGTAAAAAGCCTCTGGCTTGGTTTTTGTAATGCCTCTGAAAATAGCCCTAAACTGCTGGTGTCCTTAGGTTTTTCATTTTGACGTTCTCGTGGCATGGAGGTATCCGTTAATATAGGGGAAAGTAGTGTTTGACGTGATGTCTATTTTGTATTCGGTTTAGTTCATCCGCGGATGACATGTTGAGTACCTTATGCCCGATGCTGTTCAACAATGGTGTCTTGGCTCCTGGAAGAGTCCCCCGAGGAAACCCTAACAACCGCTGTGTCGCGGTCTAGACTTGAGTCAGAGGCTAAGGTCAGAGTCCCCGAACAAAACCCTACATCCTCCCACTGCCTTGTGGGTCAGACTTTTGAGTCAAAAGTTCAAGGTGGGGTACCTCGACTAAAACCCCTTCTTCGGCCTGGGCAATCGGGAAGCATCATTTGCTCTTGCAGCTCTTCGCTCACTGGCCTTCTCCCTCATTCCCTCCCCACCCATCATACAGTGCAGTACAACCAACTCACCTACCAGTTCCCTAGCCACTACTCCGTGTCTAAACCTTCGCTCAGAAAGATAAACCAAAACAATCACTTACCAACCCCAAAAGATCTGATCCACATTACATCCTTCAATATCCGTACTCTATGTAAAATTGGACAACAACCATCCCTTGCTGAAACCTTGCTTTCCCTCTCTATCGATGTACGTTTTGCCTCCGAGACACTCATACTAGGCCCCACTTCGATTGTGCTCCCCAAGCCGCTTAGGACGATCCCAGATGTCCCACATTTCACTCTTCGGGTATCCGGTGATCCTGACACAATGGCTCGTGGTATCTACGGTGTGGGAGTTGCACTCAGCCCCAAGGCAGAAAGTGCCTTACTGGACTGGATCCCAGTAAACAGTCCCCTTTTCACTGTGCAGTTGTCTGGCTCAACTAAGATTAACACAGGTAGATGTGGTAAACGGTGTTTGTTCATCGTATCAGCATACGCCCCAACAGATAGCAGCTCTGATACTGTGATTTGAAGGACGAGTTTTATCAGGATCTGTCACGACTGCTCCGGTCGACAGGAAGGACGAATATAGTAATCCTGGTGACGATATGAATGCCCAAGTCCGGAAGAAACACAGTTTGGTGGTCGATTTGGAGTCTATACTGAGCGTACGGATAACAGAGAGTGGCTTCTTCAGTTGTGTACAGATCATCTTCTGTTCCTGGACTGTACGAACTTCCAACACAAATGTTCACGCCGAGTTACTTGGAGGCGACTTATCACATGACAGTCGTGGACTCAATTGGACCATATGGCTATCAGTTACCGGCGAAGATCATCAGTTAAGGAGTGTCGTTCCTTCTGGGGTACGCAACTTGACTCTGATCATGCCATTGTGCGGATCTGCTTACCACTGCTTTCCACTAGCACTACGCGTACCGAAAGACAGCAGCTCCGTTTATCAACTTCGACAGGTTTCAGTAGCTGAAGAGTGTCGAGCTGATCTCACTTTGAAGCTACGAGAAACGCAGTCATGTAGACGACGAAGATCGCTCAGAGGATGAATCGAGGCGAGTTAAAGAAACAATGCTGTGGGCTTTCAGAACTGTTTGTTCACCCATCTGACTCGACGTAATGAACACTGGATTCCTCGAGACCAGCAAATCTCATTGCTCCCAGAAAGGCCATGTCAGCAACCATGGACTATGATGGCGCACGCAGATCCCTCAAACGCCGGATAAGCAGGAGCTTGAAGAATGACAGAGAACGTCGGTGGATTTCGAAGGCACAGGAGATGGGGAAAGCTTTCGCTGCAGGCAACAGCTCCGCCCTGTTTCAACTGATACGATCAACGGGTCAAAAGAAGACTGGTGTCAGTGAGACAATATGCGAAAAAAAACAGAACAGCAATTCACTCCCTCAAACGCTGTCTTGAGCAGTGGGCTGAGCACTTCAAAGAACACTTCACCTGGTCTCCTTCAACTCGACCGCTGAAAGAACCAAGCGGGCCCGAATGGAACATTGACAGAAACCCACCATCAGCAACCGAAATCCATACCGACCATATCTCCATCTTGAGACAAATTCTTGAATAGTACCATTCCTTCATACGTCCCATCGTTTTTCCTGATTCGAAAGCTCTTTTTGATTTTGTCGATCGTCAGCAACTTTGGCAGTGTCTGGCTATCAAAGGTGTCCCTTCCAAATTTCTCTTTCTTATGAGGGCACTGTATGCGAACTCCTGTGGCCGCGTACGAGTATACGGAAAGCTTTCGCCTCAGTTCACCACGTCCAGTGGTGTAAAACAAGGCTGTTTTCTTTCCCCTTTCCTCTTCGGTTTTGTTATTGATGTGCTGCTTGAAATTTCCCTGCCTGCCTTTGAAACCTCGGGAGTCGAAATGCTCCCAGGACGTTCCCTTATAGACATTGAATATGTGGACGATATTGCTTTCCTTGGTTCAGATCCTTCCCAAATGCAAGCGATTTTAAGTAACCTAAATAACTCTGGCACAGGGTTTAGCATGCGCTTCACACCTGCAAAGTATAAAGTGCTGCTACAAGACTGGTTGCGAGTGAGGCAATTGAGGTGGTAGATAAATTTGTTTACCTGGGCAGCTGCATAAGTTCCGGTGGACTGGCTGGAGATCATTTCTCGAATCGGGAAAGACCAGGGCAGCTTTTGCCAACCTCCGACACGTACGGGCCAACGTGACGTGAGTTTGCCTGTCAAGGAAAGGGTTTACGTTGCGGTGGTGCGATCCGTACTGCTTTACGGATCAGAGACATGGCCCCTACGCACAGAGTTACACGAAAGGTGTCAGCGTTTGCTCATCGGTGTCTCCGATTTATTGGTCAGGTGTGGTGGGAACATCGGATTAGTAATACTGAGGTACGCCAGATGGTCTTAGAAACAAGGAACTCCTTCGTCATAGATGAATTACTCACGTTTCATAGATTGTGCTGGTTAGGACATCTACTCCGCATGGCAGAAGACTGTCTGCCTCACAGAGGTCTTTTTCCCCCAGCCCTTTGCTGAATGGAAGTGACCGAGAGGTGGACGGTGTATGACTTGGCAACGAAGTACGAAAACACTAACCAATGAATTTAGTTGGGTGGATAGGTAGGCTGGATAGGTACCTCGGGACTCGAATCACCAATGGTTAATGGCGTTGGTGGAAATGGCCCAGTCGCGCAGTCAGTGGCGCTCGTGCATCAAGGCTATCGGCTTAAGTGCGTAGTTACCCATTTTCCGAACAAACAACATGCCCTCGCCTCAAAGGCTTGTTTGTATGTTCCACTTTCCTGTTTTCCGGTGATCGAAACTGTAGCAGCTGGAACCAATGTGCCTATCGCACACTGTTTATAGCTAATAAGTTGAATTGAATTGTTGGTCAACGTGAACTAAGCCGTCACAGCTGTTAGACACGGAAGTAAAAATCTCGTTTCTGCAAAATGAATATGCTCAAGCGTCCCACTAAACTCTCCTGGGCGTTTCAGAGAGATTTGCTAAACAATCGCTGGATTTGTTGTTTACCAAACCTTTTCGAAACAATGGCTACCCAATCAGTTCCAAAGATTTTCCTGGGCGTTCTTTGAATATTGAACAATGATGAAGCACTGCAAAGCGTTTCCATGATTTCCGTACTAACCTTCCATCGGGTGCTAAGATGGTGCCTTCATGCCCAACCAGACACTACTCTGATGCTCCATCAGTAGTACACAGGTAATAATGGGGTCATTTTGTCCTTTTCAAGTGGCTTGTCACTCTCATGCTTAGAGGCAAGGCATGTGATCGCTCATATAACGCCACTGGATGATTCGATGGCTAGTCCATCCTCCACCCCAAATTAAAATGATAAACTCTCCTCAGTTCTCTATCATTTGAGCTTCTGACCAGGCTTATCTCTGCTCGAAACTAAACAGATTCTGTGTTGTCCAGGTATTTAGGAAAGGATTACAACCGACACTTCGGTATCACAAAAATAAGTTTATCGAGAAATGTCCCGGCGAACATCAAAATTACTTTCGGCATTCACATATGTAGGCTCTTTGTCGATGTTATGTTATCTCTACGCAGCAGGATGTTAAAATATAACTTTTGATGGAGTGTGCAATGAACCATTCATAATTAAGCCCTTCTCAGAAACCGCATTGTATCAAGATTCTTCACCACCCAACTCATCCTTTCTTAGCTTTGTTGTTCGTTTGAACTTTTCCGGCTACTGATTTAACCTCCAGTAGTAATGAGACCAAAAAGTCGGCCTCAGCATTGCTCAATCGCCATTTTTCGTGCTGCGTCCACTCGCTGCTTACGCAGTTTGAATTTAAAAAACACCGGAAGATTGCTGATTTTCCAAAAGCTTGCACGAGCGTTTGGTCGGGTCGAAGTCTGTCAAAAGATCCATCATTTTAATGCACACTGCTAAGCTTTGGGATCGGTGGTTCTGATAGTACCTTAAAGTGCAGATGGAGTGTCCTTCCTACGCCACGTGAACCTGTCAGAAATCATCGAGGAAAGTGAACATAGTAGCTTCCACATACTGTTCAGTGGCACTCGCAACACGTCACATTTGTTCTGTTCCGAAAATTTCCACTAGGACACCTGGGGTGTATCGTTGGTTCGTGTGGGGTGATGTATTTTCACAGTAGTTGTCTGTTGGGAACCAGCGCATCTGAATTGTTTCTGCCGAGCTCCTCACAACTTCTCGGGTGAATTTTCACGTGATAT